AAAACATGCACATAAGAACCTAAAAACATATAGCAACTTATTAAGCTAGAATCTTACCGAACATGCACATACAACAACTACTAAATGAAAACAAAACAGGAACACAAGGCATCCCAACTCAGATCCAATAAGCACTACAAGCAACTAAATCAGATCGTTAGAGAAAAGTGAACGCAAAAATAAAAAACGGTATGAAAATTATATCAGCCCAAGGGAACATCGCATGCATACCAACCTTATCCATAAGGCATTCATCAAGAAAACTCAAGAATTGTTTTACCAAATATTTCAAGAATATTACACAATCCATAGTTCAAGAATTCCTAAACTCATAAGCTTAAATTTTCAAACAAGTCACACTATGTCGCCCATTTCATTAAGACAAATTCATTTCAATTTTGAATGACACAAGAAGAATGCAAGGATTTTTTCGCCTAAAAGATTCAAATTGTATCATCATGTTACACAAGAATTCCAAGTCACGTCATTTCCATACAAAGGCATTTAAAGTTGCTATACTAAAAAGCTTCAAGGTAAGTCGTCAAGTTTGAGTTTACAAAGAAAAGATTTTGGTTTTATGATTGTTCAAATTCAAAGAATAAAAGAGATTCAAAAATTTCAAGTCTCCTATGCCTAAATTCTTATGTCCATCACCAAGTCTACAATGTTACAAGCCTTTCCATGACATTTTATAAAGCCCATCTAACATCCAAATAATCATCAAAATGACTTAAACATTGCAAAACAAGGGGAATCAGTGGGCTAAATGAAGCATTTTCGGATTGGGCTTTTGACAGAAAATTGCAAGGTTTGTTTGAATCAATATTTCAACACAAGCAGAAATTTCCAACCACATAATCCTTAGTCTCTATAAAAGCATTCATTCTGACACAGATTCAGAGGATTCATTCACTGACAAATTCAGACAAACTCAGAGCAAATAGAAATACTAAATAACCAACCAGAAAATCAATCATTACTGAGCATATAAAACAATGTCAAGAAATGAAGGCAAATTAGTTATATAAAATAGAGCTTATCAACTAAGGAAAGTGGCCTTCTAGTTTCTTTGGGAACATATTTGTTTAGAAGATGAACAAATCAAAACAAGCAAGCATTAAAAGGGATAACAGCAACATCGCAGAACACACCATCAAATCATGTTACAGCATACCCAAATCTCGTCACAGAAAACAATAATCCTCTAAATCCATTCAGCAAGATACACACAAGAAAAGAAAAATCAATAAAAAAAGAAACCCATTCATTTCTAAACCTAATTTACATTTTCCTGCAACAGATTTCATCAATTTAGCAAATCAACACTTGCAAGCAAAAAGCATATGAGGTAGGGGAAAACCTTCAATTGTAGAGACAAGGAGATTCAGGTAAAGCCTTGTGCGGAAGGAGACGAACAATTCAAAGATCGAAACGACGACGATTTTAGGTTGACGATGAACGGTGAGAGGAAACAAGAATAAATGCACTCTGCTTGCTTAGTAAAAGACTTACCTTCACTGAAACTGAAATGAAAAATGAAATAGAAAATTGAAAATCTGTAACCTAGGCCGGTCGGTTTTGGATTTCGATGGATCCAAACAAATTATCCGAAACCGACCGGTACAATCCATATGCATCCATTTCTTGCAAAACCGATTACCCGATAACCCGTTTGACCCGAACCGCTTACTAACGGGCCCTTGGGTAGGTCGGACTGGACCGGTTTCGGAATAATCTGTCCAGCCTTAAAGTAAGGTAGTCACAGGCATACAGCTTAGGCCTCACCATTTTTAAAGCCTAAAACGTATTTATTTAATTGAATTAATATTGCTTATTTAAAAATATTAATTATATTAGGTTTCGTAGTATAAATTTTACTCATTAAATTTGCTCATAATTGATTTACTAAAAAATTAATTAATTATGTGAATGCTTTTAATATTCATTTTTGTGTTGTTTATAATTCTAAAAATTAACTAGGACTCTAATTTAGCTGTTGGTGTTGCTATTTGAATTTCGCTTTAAACCTTCAAATTTGTTTAGTATAGTCAATATTAGATATAAACATATAAAGAAATTTTTGTCCCAGTACTTTACTGATGACCTCGAGCTCATAGCCCATCCCTGACCTTCACTTATCCCATTCTTAAAAATGTTGGTCATTATTATATTTTAATAACTCTTTATTCGTAACTCAAAAGATTCGTATAAAATCAAAAAATAAAGAAACTTGATAGAATTGTTCATGGGTTAATTTGGGATAGTTAGAATACAATACTCACCTTCGCCAACTCCCTCGTCTAGCGGTGCATGCACGAGTTTCACCCTTCATACATTTTTCCAAAAACTCATCCCTCTCTCTCACATCACTCTCTCCTGGAGAAGTCTGGGCGAAGTTGCTTCGCCCGACGACTTGGAAGGCTCGCCCGACAAGTGCGCAAAAACAACAACTCTGCTGTTGCATTTTCTATACAAAATCAGTCCAATTTTCTCACGATTTTACACCAGTGCAGATCCAAAACTCACATAATTTCACATGTTTTCATCTCATGACAACATCACATCATAATAGGCATCATATACATCATTTCATGACATTTTACACATTACAAATCATCATTCTCATCGCAAATCATCATATTATCATCATCAAACAAACCCCAAATACAAACCTACCAATACCTAAACCCATACCAATCGTAATGATAAGAATAACTCCTCTTATCTTAGATTATAGCTATAAACCGATTCTCCTTTGCGTTCTACAGAATTCCTCTTAGTTCTTCAATGCCCTGGGTCTGTTCTTTTCTCTGTCTCTTCTCCAAACGCGATTATACAAAATGAGTGTTCTAAACTCCAAATTTTCCTTATGTGAAACTTACCCCCTTTGACCCCTAATATATTTTGCCTAACTTGCCCTCACTAATCCTTATGTATATTACCATCTTGTCCTCATCATCTTCACCTCGTATATTATTTCTACTTTACTAATTAAAATCATTCTAAATAATTATTCTAATTATCTAAAATTATTTAAAACACTCAATATCACTTAATCTCTACTATACCACGCATAGCATCATATCACACATCATATTCATCAAAACATCACATATATTCAAAAATCCACACAAATACTCATCATAAATCAATTAAATAATTAAATAAATAATCTAATTATTTTAGGAAGTTACAACAATGAGTACAATATCTTGAATTGTTTTTATTAAAACCTTCGTAGCTAGATCCTCAGCCTCGACCATAACCTTTCTTAGCTTCATAAGCATTAATGAGGATACTAGTTTCATCAACAACAAACACATGTGTAAGAATGTGATTACTTTCCTCTTATGCAACAAAAGAGTAGACTTTATTGATATACGAGAGAGATTCCATCCTCAACACCTGAGACATAACAACTGCAAATTGATCATTCAAACCAGTCAAAAACTGGATGACTTGATCTTCAAAAATGTAATATTTGGCTTATCTCATAGCTTCACACCTACAAGGATGGCGACATGTGCATGTAGGAATTTGTCGATAAGTTGTAAATTCATCCCATAATGTCTTCATTTCAATGAAATACTCAAGAACTGATCTTGAATCTTGTTTGAGGTTATTCATTTGAGATTTAAGATTAGCACTCGAACACGATTAACTTAGGAGAATCTTTTTTTAAGATCATTCCGAACATCAATGGAGTTTTCATGGAAAGCTATAGTTTCCGCAATAAAATCACAAACTGAGTTTAAAAACCAAGAATGTACCAAATGGTTGCATCTCTCCCAAGTTGCACGATTCAAATCATCATAATCGATAATTGGTAAAGAACCATCAATGATCGATATCTTGTTCTTGGCACTAAGAGCTCTGCGCATCGATCTGCTCCAAAATGCATAATTATTTCCATCAAACTTTGTAACAATGGTGACTGAATTGGGACTATCACTAGGATGAACATAGAACATTGAATCAGTCTGAGGCTGAACCGATTGAACAACTCTTAGAAGCATTGTGATGAAGAGAATGAACGAAAAAGTAACTGTAATAATTAAAACACGAAAATATTGCAGCAGAATAAATGATTTTCTAAAATTGCAGAAAATTGAACAATGAATCAAAGAAGAGAGATAGAATGTAAATGAAGAATGTAATCAATCTCGTCATGAGAGCTCTAGATACCATATTTTTCACTATTATACCAAAATTCATAAATTAAAAACATATAAATAACGGTAATATTTGATTTCCTTGTAATAAGAAAATTTTCGTCCCAATCGCCTCCATTTCACTGTTCGTGAATCGAATAAAAAATTGGCCCTACCCAATCGCCTCTTCTCCAGCATCAACATCACCACAGAACACTTGTACAACCAACGCAAGGGAAATCCAATTACTATCTCACATACAGGTACAGGTGCTCTCTCAAACAACATTAGAAGCGCAATTACTAACTACTATTGTGAATCATTAGCATTACACGGATCATTATTTGACATTGATTGAAACACTAAAAGTTAATTCACATTAGCATTACTCATGATTTATGCATGAAAGGTCAAGTATTCAATTCAATTAGAACTTTGTATAAATTAGGGTTTATGGTGTGAATCCTAGTCTATGAAACATTGTCACAAACACACACAAGACATGATAACGGATAATTATTCGAGAAAATGAATATAATTGAAGATGCTTTGGTGTTGAATTGGTGAAGGCATTAACATCAACACCTGTTGACAAACCTTCAATCTAAAGTGTCGGTGTTTCGTAAGTCTTAATTGACTCGCCGAGTTCCTTGAGAATGATCAGGATACACATTCTTTGAACATTGAGACAAAGTTGAAAGGAATTGTTAAATTTCTCTATACGAAGAAAACTAAAATTTGTTAAGGCACTCAAAACTTTCCATGTAGAGATAGGTTACTACGATATGAAAAAGCACACGGAACACTTTTCACCTCTATATGTGCCACTTCTGTTTCTTTGCACTTCATTCAGCAGTAAAACATTACATTTTTCACATTCTCTTTCAATGCAGGAAGTGGCCTAACTGCTCTATCTTTTGATCTCGCACCTCGCTGTTTAGCATTCTCTGGATGATCGGGTTCCATGTAGCATCGAGCTCTGTAGGCTGCCAAATGAGCATAGTATGCTGGAGGTACTACACATGAAACAAAAATTTATATTTAGACAATCCATTGAAGCATGTTAACTAGTGAAGTTAGTTGTACAAAAGTTTTAATGTTTACTTTTCTAGTTTTGCTTAAACAAATGTGCGTCACAATTCTTGATCGGGTAGTGTCTGAAACTTATATTTACCATACTTATCAGTTGATTATGTTTTATTTATGTTTAGACAGTTTAGTAAGAGCAAGATGATTAATTACCTACAGAAACAGACCGGGTGCATCTTGCATAGCTGCAACCAAGACATTAGGAAGGTTACTTCATTGTTAGTAGTAATACAGCAGACGAATTCAAGATGATAAATAGAGAAACTGTTTACGTGTAGCATAAGTTGTTAGTTAGAGACTGGATCTCATCTGCACTGAAATTGTTCTCATCCCAGAGGACATGATAGTGTGCCGGTCTACTTGTACCCTGCAAAGTTTCCAATCACAACATAAATTGGATATCGCTACATGCTATGCATTGCGAAAATCCAAATCTTATCTAATGAAATTCAATATCATTATCATACCTGAATTCCTGCATGACTGCATAAGTAGAAATCAAATTCAGTAGGATGACAAATCTTTGAATCCACCACAGTACCTACAGTACATTCAGAAACAAACCTCTCAACTCTGGGCTGATTTATGATACTGGTTCATGAAATTATAGAGTAACCAAAATATATTGCAAATATAAGGAAACCCTCCAGCTGGATATTATGTAGAGACTAACACATGGATAGTCATAAAAAAGTTACATGTCAAACACAAATTCTAGCATCTAATAGTATCAAAATTTTTTACCAGGTAAGATATTTCCACTCGTATCAGTGCTGTTTCTGTCATCGTGATTGTTTGGGAAGAGTCTAGTGTGATGCCGTTTTTGAACCACAACAAATGTTACCGGAGGTTGGTAACTTGATTCCAAAGATGCACAAGCCTACACATCATAAGAATGTAAGAATTGTAGGATATCGTAGTCTGGGCCGGCTCAAAGAGGCTGCATGTAAGGCAGCCACAGCCTTGGGCCTCACCATTTAGGCCTAAAATTTATTTATTTTATTTTAAATTTCGCTTTAAACCTTCAGATTTGTTGAGTATAGTCAATATTAGATATAGCCATATTGATATTTTTGTCCAAGTACCTTACGGATGGCGTCAAGCTCATATAGCAAAACTTGGTAGAACTGTCCCTCACTTACCCCATCCCTGAAAATGTTAGTTAAAATTGTATTTTAGTAACTCCTCATTCGTAATCTCCTCAAAAAATCAGTAGACAAAACCTGAACAAATCATTCCTACCTGTAAAAGATTATTCTCAGTGGTTTTTGTCCAGTTGCCTTCTTAAATGAAAGTAAAAGCTCCCTGAAGAAGCACAAAACAGACACAAATTTTGGACAACATCAAATAATAAATACCAAAAAGCCATTATAATGCCTCTAGTAATTAATGATTCAAGTGACACCCATTTGTTAATACAATAACCTAGTAGGAAATGGAAACATTTCCAACTGGGGATAAAAACAGTGAGACTTCGGATCATGGTTCAATTAAATAGTAAAAACAGAACTGGTTGAACTTCAATCTGGTTCAATCAAACTAAGGTATAACCAGGATCATAGCAACCGGAAAATTGGCCGGTTCCTAGTTAAACCGGACAGTTCGGTCCAATTTTTAGAACATTGATTAGAAGTTAGAAGAGCTGCTGCTGAAGTGTACCTGATCATACCACCGTAAACCACTCCCCTCTGTGGATCTTTCCAACATTTGTAAAGATCTTTGATGAGTTCTTCACGATGAGGCTGGGCGCAAACCAACCCTGCATACTTCGATACTTCTGGCCAGTCTTGAGAGGCTACAACCTGGATGAAAATAATCAGTATATATCGAACATTGGCCATATCTTAGTTGTATGAGTTTGGAAATGCTTACTGCAGCAATGGATGGGAAATTATTGTCTCCGGATTCTGCATGAGTTACATCCGCTCCAAATATTATTGTTGGAATATCACTAACCAGTGGAATCTTCCAACTTAATGCATCCAAAAGTACTGTGTTTCTTCCTCCCATCTAAACGAATAATTCATTTGTTTAAGAAATGAAAATGAAAGAGCATTACTTAGAAAAAATATGACCAAGGAATTGAGTAAATATTTAAATGTAGCGTGTAGCCCCCCTGACCTTTTTGATTATAAGTATAATAAATCATTTAATAATAACAAACCTTGACATTGAGTTTTAGGGCCACATTTGCCAGGTACTGTCTGTGAGTCTTGAAAACATATTTTGCAAGACAGCATTGTGAAATCAACCCAAGATCTGTTTCACAGATTCTTTTGAGATCACCTGAATAAAGAATTTGTTTATTTAATGCAAGCTTGAAGTAATTTTCTTCCTGGGAAAATTTGAAATGAAATATGGATAACAAGAAAAATGCTAAGCACTGGAGTAGGATCGCAGAATCATACCATACAAAGAGCCATTAATGTCTGGAAGAATGGCAATCAACAACTCTAGCTCTTTACCATCGAGTTTGTCTAGAGCAGCGGTATGTACATACTTCAAAGCCTTCTTGACCTGATCTGGTCTTGCTGAATATACAGGAATCACAGGTTCTTGACTAAATTCCTGATAAGCAGTATGCACTTAGTTTTTATTTGATAAGCAAACATGGCCTTAGTGTCCAATGTCCATGATGACATACAATAGAAGATGGATGATTATAATTGGAAATTTTTTCATTCAAACAATTTGTTTTTAAAACCAAAACTGTGCTAACAAGGGCATAACCAAAGTTTGGATTTTTACCATGCCTAAGATTCGACACTTCTGAACTAACTGTTGGCAAAATCCGCGAGCTGTACTTTCTTGTACACTTCGTGAGAAATTGATGCATGCCCAATACCTTACATTACTTCCATTTATAACTTTCTGCATTGAAATTAGTAGGAGCAAGTTATTTTCCTTTTTCTTCATATATAAAAGTGTTTTTCTCTCTTTTATAAATAAAATATTTACAGGATAATATGTTCATGCCTGAGCTGACCTTGTTCATCATATTCCATTGTCCGACTTGTGGCAAGTGTTCTTTCTCTCTTCCAGTGTCATTATATTTCAACTATTGGGAAAAAGAGCCAAAATGTACTTATATTATAATCATAAAAGCAAACAAGATAGGTAAACAGTTAAATAATAAAAAAATTACCCATGGAGGAGGAAGAACCCGAGCCTCCACTGATGCAAGCGTGTTGTCTATGCCGATGCCAAACTCCTTTGCCAAGGGATTGTTCTCATAATTGTTTTGTTGAATTGTCTACAATTGAATAAGGAAGGATATCTATTAGTAAAGTAAATGAATCACAACTTTTATTATGTTTGAAGAGGAAGAGCTGCAATACTATAGAACATAAAGATACCTAATGTTGAATTAGAAGAGATTAAGAGACATTTAGGTTAAACCGTGTACTTTGAAAACACTACGGAGATTTTATTATATAGAGAGATTACAACTAATTACATGATATAATCAATGTGAGACTATTCTACATACAAATATTTTTAACACTATATTTACAAATATCAACACTCCCCCTCAAGTTGGAGCATATAAGTCAAATGCACCAAGTTTGTCACATATATAATTAGTTATGGGACTTCGTAGAGATTTTGTAAACACATATACTAATTGATCATTAGAGTTGACAAAGCTTGTGACGATGTCGCCAGATTCAATCTTCTCTTTGACAAAGTGACAATCTATCTCAATATGTTTGGTCCTCTCATAGAAGACTGAATTTGAAGCAATGTGCAATGCAGCTTGATTATCACATACAAGTGTCATTGGTCTTGCTTCTTCAATTTGAAGTTCTTTGAGCAACTGTTTTAACCAAATGAGTTCACATGTTGCCATTGTCATGGCCCTATACTCCGCCTCAGTGCTTGATCTTGCAACTACATTTTATTTCTTACTTTTCCAGGATATAAGGTTTCCTTCAACAAGTACACAATATCCAGAGGTGAATCGTCTGTCAATTGGTGACCTTGTCCAATCAGCATCGGAGTATTCAACTATCTGAGTATGTCTTTTATCTTCATACACTAAACCTTTTCCTGGAGCACATTTGATGTATCTCAAAATCCAGATAACAACATTCATGTGTTCCTGACAAGGGGAATTTAAGAACTGACTTACAACACTGACTGCAAAAGAAATGTCTGGACGAGTGACTGAGATAATTCAACTTTCCAACCAATCTCCTATATCTTCCCGGCTCTGATAGAAGCTCCCCCTGATTGGGTAGTAGTTTGACACTTGGATCCATAGGAGTATCAGCTGCTTTAGCGTTCAACAAACTTGTTTCTTCCAAAATATCCATAGCATACTTTCGCTGAGAAATCACCAAACCATCTTTAGATTGGGCTACCCCAATACCCAAGAAATACCGGAGTTTACCAAGATCTTTTGTCTGAAATTGATTCGAAAGATGTTGTTTCAACTAGAGTATTCCCTGCTCATCACTACCAGTTATGACAATATCATCTACATACATAATAAGATAAATACACCCTTGGATTGAGTGACGATAAAAGACAAAATGGTCAACTTCACTACGGACCATACCAAACTGTTGTACTGTAGTGCTGAATCTACCAAACCAAGCTCTCGGAGATTGCTTAAGACCATAAAGAGACATGTGTAGCCTACAAACCATATTCGATGACTCCCCCTGAGCAACAAACCCAGGTGGTTGCTCTGTATATACTTCCTGTTCAAGATCACCATGTAAAAATGCATTTTTGATGTCAAGTTGATGAAGAGGCCAATGTCGAATGACTGCAATGGCTAGAAGAAGTCTAACAGATGTCATCTTGGTTACAGGCGAGAATGTATCACTATAATCCAACCCAAAAATATGAGTGTATCCTTTGGCTACCAAGCGAACTTTAAATTGATCAATCTTACCATCTGTATCAACTTTCACTATATAAAGCCAACGACAACCTACTAAAATTTCCCAGGGGTAGAGGAACCAGTTCCCATGTACCACTGCTTTGAAGAGCACACATTTCATCAATTATTGCTTGCATCCACTCAGGGTGAGATAATGCTTCACCTGGAGTGTTAGGAATAGAAACTGAAGACAAAGAAGACAAACAAGTATACTGCAAAGGGCAAAGACGATGATAGCATAAATTAATATGGGTTAAATGCCTTCTACCTCCTGCAATAGTAGCGAGATTTGATTTACCCTCCTTTTAAAAAAAAATTCTTTTCGCCCTTCAACAAACATAGATTCCATAACCAAAAACCTTTTAGTCCAAGATTTCATTTGAAATGCAGACGTGGCTAGAATTTGTTTGCTGACTGAGTCATGTATTCCACCGTGCCTTTTTAAAATATTTTTTAATATTTTATTTAATTGTATAAAATCTTTGCATTGTTAAAAAATATGCATCAAGTGGGTTTTAAACCCTATATCCTCTACTTGCAAGCCATGCACTCAACCACTGCACTAATTGTTTCAATTTGTATATTATTCACTTTGAATGTTACTTTAGATATAATTTGTTTTAGATACCTATCGTCACAAATTAAGCGTGTGTTTATAATTGACATTGATGTTCATCATGGGAATGGAACAAATGATGCTTTCTATGATGATCCAGACATATTTTTCCTTTCCTTCCATCAAGTAAGTTACAGATTTGGTTCATAGCTCTGATTATATTTTCTTGTATTTCTTCATTGATGTTCTAATAAGCTGTTCACAAAAGGGAAATAACAGAAAAAAGGTAGAGCCTTAATATCCTGAACTCTTTGAGAGGTTTGTATGTACTTCACAAAACTCTCTGTTCAAAGCATTTCTCTCCTTATTTTCCATCTGTATTCTCATTCTTCTCCGTAAAACTCAATTCTTTTCCGCTTCCTTCTGCAAGCTCAACATTTTATAAAGGCTCAAACATTCCAACCCAAGACATCCATATTTTGTAAAGATAGTGAGCCTTTACATTTGAGCCAAGCAATAAACTTTTTAGGGTTTGATAATGAAAATCGTAACTGTTCTTGAAACTACCAACCAGACGAAGAACAATTCCAGGGATTGGGGATATTTGATTTGGGGGAGATGAAATTTCTAGGGTTTTGAGTGTTAAAAAAAGGAATTCCAAGGGAATGAAGTTTGTGTACAAACATAGCACAATAAACAACATCTGGCACACTGAAAGTACATCATGGAAATATACAGCGCTGAAGAAACTCCATGTTAATCTTCAAGGTATCAAGACAAGAACTTAACCATTTTGTTTCTTTGGTTGAAGAAGCCATTGAAGAGAAAAGATGAAGCTCTGCAGATCTGCAGATTTTGTAAGTTGTTATGAATAATCGATTTTGTTATGAATACATTGGGGAAGAAGATGAAGCTCTGCAAATTGGGGAAGAAGATGCATATGGAATTTTCTAAGTTGTTATAATTAATGGACTTTATTATTAATTGATTTTGGGGTAAACATGTTCAACAAACAATAGTTGACCGAGTGGTTGGAAGAATGTTAGAACACCCAAGTGTTCATGGGTTCGAATTCCATAGAATTTCAAATTTTGAGAATATTTCTTTGTTTGTATTTTACATTGCTAGATATAACCAGTCCACGGTGGCATAAATGACCCAGTCAGCAAACAGATCCTGGCCACGCCAGCATTTCAAATGAAATTTTAGGCTAAAAGGTTTTTGGTTATGGAATCTATGTTTGTTGAGGGGCGAAAAGATTTTTTCCCACTATGCCAAGTCCTCCATCTGCCTTAAGCCAACTCAACCTCTCTCAGTCTAACTCCTCTTCGATCATTCATGCCTTCTCTGACTTGGCTGAAGCTAGCACCATTTCCCCAACTTCTCTACCCAGTTCTATTTCCCCTAATAGTTTTGTTTCCCCTTCTGTCTCAACTACCAGTCCTGGCTCAATTTCTCCTATTCTCAACCCATCTCAATGTTCATCCCATGCAAACTCATGCCAAAAGTGGCATTTTTCAGCCTAGAATTCATCCCACACTTCTTATAACTCATATAAAACCTACATCAGTTAAGGAGCCTAGAATTCATCCCACACTTCTTATAACTCATATAGAACCTACATCAGTTAAGGAACCCTTGGCTACTCCTCACTGGTTTCAGGCAGGCTGAAAAAATCAAACTTGGATCTTGGTGACTCCATCTGCCTCTAAAAAGCCCATTGGTTGCAAATGGGTCTTTCGGGTTAAGGAGAATCTTGATGGCTCTATTAATAAATATAAGGCAAGACTAGTTGCCAAAGAATTTCATCAAAAAGCTGGTAGTGATTTCACTGAGACATTTTCACTAGTGGTTAAGCCTGTTACTGTCAGAACTGTACTCACTCTTGCAGTCACAAATAGGCGGTCAATTCAGCAAATTGATGTAAATAATGCCTTCCTCAATGGGCTTCTTGAGGAAGAGGTGTATATGATTCAGCCTCCTAGGTTTGAAGCTACTGATAGGTCTCTTGTGTGCAAGCTTAACAAAGCTTTAAATGGGCTAAAATAGGCCCCAGGGCCTGGTTTGATAGTCTCAAAAGCTCCCTGCTGCAGCATGGACTTCAGTCTAGCAAGTGTGATCCCCGCTTATTCTTTCTACACCCTAGCAGCTTAACTATTGTGGTATTGGTTTATTTGGATGACATAATCATCACTGGGAATTCTCCTTCATTCATTGCCAATCTTATCAAGAGTCTCAACACAAAGTTTGCTCTTAAGGACCTAAGGCAGCTGGACTATTTCCTAAGGATTGAGGTTACTCACTTATCCAATGGGGCTTTACTTCTGTCTCAAGCAAAATATGTAAGTGACTTGCTTGCGAAAGTGAATATGTCTACTTCCAATGGAATGCCTACTCCCATGGTCTCTAGCACCAAGTTATCAAAATGTGGTTCTGACACGATTTCAGACCCAACTCAGTTCAGATCTGTTGTTCGTGCTCTTCAATATGCTACTTTAACCAGGCCTGAGTTATCCTTTTGTGTCAACAAAGTGTGTCAGTTTTTGTCCAATCCTTTGGAGGAGCATTGGAAAGCAGTGAAAAGAATCTTCAGGTACCTAAGTGGTACACTTCATTTTGGCTTACTCATTCAACCTGCTCCTAGGCATTAACCCGTATCTCTGCTAGGCTTCTGTGATGCTGACTGGGCAGCAGACTCTGATGACAGAAAGTCCATTTTAGGGGCTTGTGTGTTTCTAGGTCCCAACATTATATCTTTGGTGGTCAAAGAAGCAGCAAGTGGTTGCAAGATCCAGTGCTGAAGCAGAGTACATGAAGGAGTATGGCTCAGCTGGCTGCAGAGATGCTTTGGATCCAATCCCTTCTCACTGAACTTCACTGCCAGTTTCAGACCCCTAAAATATTGTGTGATAACCTCAGTACAGTGACCTTAGCTCATAATCCTGTTCTTCATAACAGGACAAAGTACATGGAGCTGAACATTTTCTTTGTAAGAGAAAAGGTCCTCAACAAAAATCTGATTGTGGCTCATGTGCCTACTCAGGATCAGTGAGCAGATTCTCTTACAAAACATCTTTCTGCTGCTAACTTCGTCCCTCTTCGTGATAAACTTAGAGTGTTCAACAAAAGTGGCCTTCTTGAAACACCCTCAGCTTCTAAGGGGGACTATTAGAGATAGATAGATAATACATTTCTAAGCATAAGATAGGTTTTATATTCTGTTGTAACTAACTGCTTAGCTGTCAAGTGGTTAGTCATGCTTGCCTATATATAGTTGCCTATTGTATTATCATCATTCAAGGAATACAATAACAGAATTCTTTCACTTTACTTCTCTCTGATATTCTAACATGGTATCTAGAGCTTCCTTTTTGATCTAGCGCTTCCACGGCCTCTCCGTTCAGTTCTGAGGGCGTTTTTCCCTCATCTCATGTCAAACTCTCATATCTCATCTCAGTTAAACTCAATGATAAGAATTTCAAGCAATGGAAACCACAAATATATGGTGTAATTCGCGGCCACAAGCATTTCGTGACGGCGCCGCTTGTTCCTCCGCGCTTTCTTCCCGGTGCCGATCCTGTTACCGGCGGCGCGAATCCAGCGTTTCTTGACTGGGAGCAGCAAGATGCGCTCATTTGCACCTGGTTGCTCTCTACTATCTCCGATTCCCTTCTTCCGAAACTCGTTGATTGCGCATATTCATGGCAAGTGTGGTCTGAAGTTCAGCGTTACTTCAACACCTTGCTCACCACCAAGGCACGCCAGCTTCGCTCTGAGTTATGCAATTTGACGCGAGACTTCTGGTTCTCAACATTGTCACCTTTACTTTCAGCTTAAACTTCTGGTCCGAGAGTAAGGTCAGAAAGTAGAAGAGAGACTTATCTTTTTTACTTATATTTTATTTTTGAAGATGAGTTTCATCAAAGTTACTTTTTTGTTCATGAAATGTAATGTTAATCTAATATGTGACTATATCATGTATAGTTTTTAGTTAACTCTGAAAAAGTAAAATAAAACAGAAGGGAGAAGATGGATGATGATAACAGCAATCCATGATAATGACCTGTAAAATGTCTGTCTCTTGTTCACGGGGTCTCTGGCATGAGAACTTAAGAAGTGAAGTTATTTGCTTTTCGTTCAACCCTTTTGTATATCTCTGGCCTCTAACTATCTTGCATACCTGAGGCAACATTCACATGAATTACCTCCATGGAAAGAACCATAACAAAACCAGAACAATCATTTGATTAAATTCAAAAGCAAAGCTTACCTCCATGGGCATATAGTTCACTTTACTCGGACTTCCTACTTGAAGGCAAGGCAAATGAGGAAATTTGATTGTATATCCATACATTTCTTGAAAATAATCAACTACTGATTTCATGTTCATTTGCTCATCAAGAGGAAATCTGTTCATGCAGGGAGGAAACAATCATTTCTTAAGAGAAATAAAAGACAAGTTCAATTTGCTTGATGTTAAGAAGTCATACATAAGCTCCCTTGTTGGTTGTGAAGTCAATCCTGATATTCGGTACTTCCTTCTGAAATTTCCTCTGTGTGTGATGTCTACTTTTACTCCTCTTAAGGCCTTTTTAATCTGCTTCCAGATGACACCACAGAAATTTCATGGTTAGATATTACTTAAATGTTTCTCTGAATTTGGGAGCTGAAGTACTGCCCATTTACTTTGAAAAATGTATGATTTTTTAAAGCTTTATTCATTTTCTGCATATATTACTATAACCTTCTGCGTATACTACTATATCCAGAACAACATGCTCGGGGTTACAAGAGTGTGTTGAAATTATAGTGAGACCATGATTTTGTTGAAATTCAAAAGTGTAGCTTTTGCAAAATTGTGGCGGTTTACTGTGATTCTTTCATACTTGTCACAAATTCGATTAAAAAATCATTGAGTCACGTGCTATCAAATTATTCGGATAACACGATATCTAAATTTTGGTGTAAAGATAGATTGTGAGACCAAAATGGATGATTATGGCTCTCAAACCTTACACCGATTTAACATAATTGAGTTAAGTTTAATCCAAATTTTAAAGAATTTTTGAAGTTGAACCGTTTGAGTATAAAGAAACACTTTTCTTAAGGAAGTAATTGAGAAATATTAGTAAGAGATTATTTAATGATGCCATTGTTGAATTGGCCTTTGCTTTGGAGAGTATAGGGCATGCTATGATCAGCTATTTAACATAACTAGTGACTCTTGTTTTTGGAAATAATGATTGCTTAGTTGACAAAAAGCAAGACAACATTCAAACCTTGACACGATCTGCATCTGACAGTGGTTTTGAGTGCACATCTTTTCCAAGAATTTGAGCAACAAAGTCAATTACAGGTACTGGTTCAATAAATGCCATTGATGACATATCTGAATGAACATTAATCAACCATAGATTACTTTAATTAAATGACACAGAAAAGGAACAACAGAAACATATGTTCAAGATCACAATCAATGAAACCAACTCTAACCAATGTTTAGTGACAACCCCATTTGAGTTGGCCTTATACTCTGATAAAATCCTCGCCATGATTCAATGCCGCCACCAAGTTTCTGTGGTTGTCTCACATCAGGAGAATAGAGAAATCTTCCAATTGGTATGTAACTAAGCATGCAACATAAGTAACATGAAATAAGCAAAATAATCAAAATCGAGTTACAAAGGAGACAACTATGAAGGATTGATATACACAAGGACACCAGACACAACACTAACACCGATAATGACACTGATACTGATTTTTCTATTACTATGTGTCTGTGTTGGTGCTTCAGAGGTGGTGAAACAACTCATAATGCTGAAAATGTACCTTTGAGCTGCAACCTCCTTCAACACAATGTCAAAAACACGAAGTACTTCTTGTGGAGTTTCCACTTGTTTCCCACTTAGAAGTTCCCTAAGTTGATGCGTGCTAACACTAGTTGCAAACTTGATTGCCACCTTAAATTCGATTTCCCTGTAGTAACAAATAAACACCAAAACTTAAATTTGTCAAGACAAACATGTTTTGCGCGATCACAATGTAATGACTAACACAAATTGTGGCCGCGATTTAAAAGACAATCCTCATTTAGACTTTGCGTTTTGAATCCGTTTTGCAAAATAAGAAAACAATCAAACAACTAAGATCATCTCGCAGTTTACTTGGCGGAATCTAGGTCGATCGAGCAATTTACCTGGTTACATAATCATCCTCAATCAATGTTACAGTAAATTCCTTGTACACAAAAGGAAGCAAACCAGCAGTGTAAAGATTTATTCCTCCATCATAGACAGGGAGCCTATTGGCTAACTCAGTGTTCTTGTGAAGCCTCACAAGCTCAGATATGACAGCCCTTCTTGTTTTACTAGAATTCACTTCAGGTGTTATTTTAACCTTAACAAAACAAAACAAAAAAACATGTCAAACAATTGTAAATGTTGCAATTTATATGTTTTAGATTATACTTACATTGTAATGGCTTAAATCAGAGACTGATACATGTACAAGAAAATGGTTGGCTTTGATGAGACACTTTGTACCAAGTTGGCCATAGCCAGGTCTGCAAGGAAACACAAGACTGTTCTTGCAACTTGGATAGGGAACCAGCATTGAATCAACTCTTGTTTCTTGTGACTTGATTTGGTTTCTTCTGTTTTTTTTCCTTCTTATGCTCTCTCTAAATTTCACTTGATGCTCCTCTGAGCCTTTCCTTTGCATTTTCAGTGTTGTTCTCTGGAAAACACTAACGATTTAACCACACATATACAGAGGGAATAATAAGAAACTAAGTTTTATTTTACTATTTAGACCGGAAATAGGTTGGGCTGAGCTAGACTTTGTTAAGTCTGAGTTTGATTTTCTAAAAATTTCAAAGCTTAAGTCTGACATGTGGCCTATCAAAGATTTATTTTTAAATTTGAGTCTAGTCTTTTCGAAAGTCTGATTGACCTATTAGCCTACATATTTTATTTGAATATTTTCAAATAAACAATTCAACTAATGTTAAAATAAATTAACATTAAAAAGATTAATTAGACTAGATACTTATTTGTATTGACTTATTCAAGTTTACCTATTAACATATATTTTGTTATACTATTTGTTTGAGAGAACTTATTAAAACAACTTATACATTTTTCATAAGTCTTTTTAGCATATTTTCATAAATCTTTTTAGACATATAAACTTTATTTTTGTATTTATTTAAAATACAAACAACATATAATAATAATAAAAGTATTCATATTTATTTAAATAGGTTGGTCTGATAGACTTTTTTTTACGACCTATGGTCTAGCCTTTTTAACTAAATAAATTTATAAAAAAACCTGAACTTTTTCTATTTAAAAAAGAGTTTAATCTGATCTATACGTAGACTAGTCTCTAGATCCTTGTTATTGTCCTAGTCTAATTTTACCCCTAATCATATTTATAAATAATTATGATATATTGATAGTCAAAAACTTTCTTTTTAAGTAGTCCTACGTAACAATTAAACTCTTAATATTTTATCTTTTGGTATATAAAATAATACATTTTAAAATATTTTTATACTATAGTAAAATAACATATTTATAGACTATTGAGTTTAAGTGTTTAACAGAAAACAATTAAGTTTGACAAATTGATGAAGTAAGGTTCAATTTGAAAAATGTGTTCATATTTACATAATAGTAATTAAATATTAATACAAATACATGGATAAAAATAAAGAAATTCAATTAATTTTTGTTATATAAATAAATGATTATATATATTTTTTAGTCATAAATAAAATTTTAAAATTTCTTTTTTAGTTTCTATTAAAAAAATCTTCAACTTTTAATTTTCATAATATTTATATGAAGTGTCATAGGAAAAGATGAGAGATTTGTGGTAGGATCTTTGAGTTTGATGGCAGCTCAAAAAACAGTTTGTAATTATCTTAATAGCAGTGGTTTTCAAGGAAGGGTATGAAAAGTAGAAAGTAGTGGGAAAGAAAGGGAACTTTGTAACGGTTAAAAAGCTGAAAAGAAGAGGGAAAAAAGGGAAGGAAAATTGTCATGACATCAAATATAGACAGTGTTTTCCTCTTCCCCTAGGTGCTGCTGTTACTTGTGTATATTCTCTGAAAAGATAGGAATAAAATAAAGTGATTTGCATTTCAATATACATATGCATGCAAAACTAGGAATGCCCTACATACCTAATGCTTCTATGTTCCATTTAAATCACAACTATAGCCTTCATATATAGACTTACACCACAAATTAAATTTGCTTTTTTTGTTTCTTGCTATATGCTTTAATTATTTGGCATCCAAAGGTTCATTGTTTTGTGGTCCCCAATAAGGATTTTTGAATTTTATTCAGTATTCCAAGTTTTTGAAAATGACTAACATTAAGGTTGATTAACATAAATTATAATGAATTACAAGGGTTGGCTTATTGACGAATGCTTGAGATCTGAAAGTGTGTTTCTCTCGATATTTTAAATTTAAATTCTGTTACGTATAAACGATTTTTATGTTTGATCAGTCCATACAAAATTTTAATATTGTAGAATTAATTTTGGACTAGTTCAATCTTAAGATATACCAAAGATTGTTTGTGTTTGGAATAAGGATATATAAGGACATAGTGCAATGCACGAACATGTAATAATGGCTGCCAAATACTAGTGTCAGTTGTACGTGCACCTATGCTTAAATCACTGCAAAATTTGTCCTAAAAATATAGAAAGTGATATGGTTATGGCCCTAGTTGTCTTTGGTTTTGGGCTATTGGATGCTGGTTGAGTTAAGGGATTAGGGATATATTGGGTGAGAAATTTAAAGTAGAAGTGAAACTCATTTAAGTATGTAGGAACAATTCAAGGACATGAAGAACAATCATGTGTCCCGTCCCTTTCAACGGTTTCATAAAAGAGACGGAACATCCTTAGGAAAAACTCCAAATTTTGATGTAGAATTGTAACTTAACTAGACTATGGAACATCCTTAGGAAAAACATCCTCAGTATAATGTATTGGTTGCCAAAACAAAATTATGGAACAACTTTGTTTTTAAATGGTTCGGAGATAATTCTATTATCAAGTTATTTTAGCCTTTTCTTGATCGCAACTGTGCGAAATTGATTATTATCCTATCTATTAAGATCAATATCAATCAATACTGAATCAATTATCGATTGACATCTTTTTTATTAAAAATTGTTTTCGTTGAAGATGGTTATTTATTTAGTTATAATATTTATAATAAAATTTTGAAATACAATAATTTTTATTTATTTAACTATAATATTTATAGTAAACTTCAAAAAATACAATAAAAATAATACTATATACTATAAAAGAAGATACGGTAAATGTTAATTTATTACTAATTTTCTTTTAAAATGTTTTTTTATAAAAATAATTCTTAAAATTGGAATAAATCAGTATATTTTCTTCAAGTAAAAGTTATTTTTAAGTTTATTGAATATTTAATGTATCTAATTTATATATAGATTGTATACATTAAATATTTAATGAATCTAAAATATAATTTTTACTATGAGACGGATGATGTATTTTTTGTGTGACAATAACTTTAATATATATATATATATATATATATATATATATATATATATATATATATATATATATATATATATATATATATATATATATATATATATATATATATATATATATATATATATATATATATATATATATAAAACAATGATATGAAGTAAAAGTATTTTTTTCATCATATGTTTTGATGCTGCAGCCAATGCTCTCTGGGTGCTTCTTTGATTAGTGTGATTTTCTTCCATTTTGTCACATCTAAATGCAAATTGCAACATGTGAAAATATCCAGGCCCCCCTTCTAAAAATTAATGTTCTCCAATCTGTTGGATGTTGTTCTTTCTAGTCATAATCAAGCAGACTGTGAAACTATTTTTTTCTTTCTTTCTAAGGTTTAATTTTTGAAAAGGCAAAACTACAAAACAAATGCTAAGGCCAAAAATGTACTAAGATTTTGTCTCTTTAAAATAAGTGGAAAATCAGATGTGAATATGTCACTATCGATTTATAATTCAAGCATCAGATAATCTAAATTATTTACCCGATTCAGTTGTATATCTATGCTCTAAGGGGGGGCCCTACTAAGATCATGACCAACACTACACTAGATAGAGATTGGGCAATAGTTCTAAGGAAAGGATATGCTCATACGTATGGAAAAAAAATTAAGAAAAAGGGTAAACAAAATTGACAAACTTTTGAAAAATGGCTAACCCTCGGATAGTAATAGATTCAGAAAGTTATATAATATCAAACTGTTTTTGTTTGATTTTGGAATGGAGAATTATGTTATATTTATACAAGAAAAATTGAACATTTAAGTTTTATATTTAAGGATGACCTTTTTTATTCTATTAAATGAAAATTGGTTTTACTTATTCTAATAAAATTAAGGTATTTCAAAGGTCAACCTCCACCATTAAAAGTTTAGTGTAAAACGTGACTCAGGGTATTTTAAAGACCAACTTCCATCAATGGAAGTTTAGTGTAAAACGTGACTCAGAGATGAAACATTATTCTAAGTTAGTGATTATCTTTCATATCCTAAGATATAACTGAAAATTAAATTTAGGCTATTAATGTGAAGTAACACTGTATTTTGATTATCGCAATAGATAACATGAGTAGGAATAGGAAAACACAATTCTTGAAGCAGCAATTGAACCCAAAGAATTTCAGAGGCTGCAAGATCAAGGTTGCGATATTCTGCTTCAGCAAAAGACTTGACAATAAGAGTTTGCTTTTTAGACCACCAAGAGTTGAGGTTAGGTCCAAAAAATAAATAAGCATCAAAAGTTGAGGGCCTGCCATCCATATCGGATGCCCAATCAGCATCACAGTAGGCCCTGAGATGAGTAGGAGCAGCAAAACTAGCTGGTTTGAACACCAATCCATAATCACTTGTACCTTTAAGATACCTTAAGATTCTCTTTACTGCAGACCAATGAGAAACCAGAGGTTGAGACATAAATTGACACACCTTATTCACAGAGTAACCGAGCTCCGGTCTGGTGATTGTAACATATTATAGAGAACCTACAATACTCCTGTAAAATGTTGGATCTACAAAGAAATCAGAACCAGCTTTAGAGAGTTTAACTGAAGCAGGGAGAGGTGTACTAATACTTTTACATCCATCCATCTTTGCTCCATCCAGGAGATCTCTCACATATTTTCCTTGAGACAGCAGGAAATTACCATTGAAAGTGCGCTTAACCTTAATTCCAAGGAAATAGTCTAGATCACCCAGTTGCTTGAGAGAGAAAATAATGTGTAGTTTGGTAATGAGTTGTTGAATCATAGTAGGTGAGGAACCAGTAAGGATAATATCATCGATATAGATAAGCATGTAGAGGAAACAACCCTTGTTATTGAATATGAGCAAAGAAGGATCACACTTGCATTGTTGAAAATCAAAATTAATTAATGTTTTTGCGAGTCGATCATACCATGTCCTTAGAGCTTGTTTTAACCCATAAATTGCTTTGTTAAGTTTATAAACCAGAGAGGCATCACTGGAGACAAAACCAGGAGGTTGAGTCTTGTTTACATCCTCATCAAGATAACCATTAAGAAAATAATTGTTTACATCAACTTGCTTGAGAGGCCAATTATTTGTGAGGGCAATGGTTAGAATAATTTGAACAGTGACGGGCTTGACAACT